TTTGGTAAACATATATCAATAACTCTAAGCATAGAAAAAGAATCGTATAACATCGTTTATAATCCTTAGACATTTATTTGTCTTTATTCATAATCATCATGAAGATATTCGTTTTATTGCTCATTATTTTTTATCCTCTATTAATAAATAGTGAAGAAATCTTATCTTATACAGATATAATTCGAGATTATTGTTCACCACCATTTTATTATTATAAATCATGGTGTTATTATATCTTTCCAAATATAACATTAGATTGGTCATCAGCATATCGTTTATGTCATTCAATTGATAAACATACATATCTTGCATATATATCAGGTGATGATGAAATGATTGATCCATTACGTGATATATTAATTAATCGAGAACGATCAAAAGAAATCAAATCAATCTGGACAAATACAACATGGGGTCAACAAAAACGTACAATCTTAAGTCGATCTTCAAAACGATCTTGTCGTAAAATTGAATTAAAATCCAATATAAAATCAGGAGAAATCAATATGCTTCGTATGCCATTTACAAATTGTCGAGAAAAACATACAGTTATGTGTCGAAAAGAACTTCCATTGAATATTATATGTCGTCGACCATGGGCATTAATCTATGGTATATGTTATTATTTCGATGAACAAAAACGAATAACTCAAAGTGAAGATGAAGAACGTGAAATACTTCAATGTCAAGCATGGGATGGACAATTATTTACAAGTTCAAAACAAGAAAAATATCTTCTTCCACCATTTCTAACCTATTCATTACATAGTCTTCAATCAAGTACAGTTTTAACAGAAAATTTTGGCGGAATATCTTATACATTTGAAAATATAATACAAGATAATTGTTCACTTATATCCGGTGATCTTTATTTAAGTACAACACTTACACAATTAAAAAATTCAAATACGACAAGAAATTGTTCATCATATAATTCTTATACATTATGTCGACAAGTTCAAAATATAACTTGTGAACCACCATGGTTTTATGATGATGGATTTTGTCTTTATTATTCTTCTCGGTCACCTGTTGATATGGGTACAGCATCAACTGAATGTTCACAAAATGG